TGGTAGGCAAGTGCTCTACCACAGCATCATATCCCCAGCCCAGGAATGTAATTTTGCAATTTTTGTTTTCCAAATACTAGGTACTGAGCCCAGGACCTTCACAATAAGTTACAAGCTCAGCCTCCCGACTTTGCCCCTCAACTTTTTTTTATTTGTTTGCTCTTGAGACAGAGTCTTGTTAAGGCACTAAGTGCCTAGACTGGGCTTGAATTTGCAGACTTCCTGCCTCAGCCTCCCAGAATGTGATAAATGCCATTTTTATGTAATGGCTCTTCAGTGTGTATCTTCAGACTTCACCTTCCTTCTCTTCTGAGTTTTAGACTCACATGTCCTGCCTATTTAGCACTACCCTGTTTTTGTTTTTCTTTGCATTACTCAGGGTTGAATGCAGGGCCATGCCCATGGTAGGTAGATACTCTACCTCTGAAGTACCTCCCCAACCCCTCCTTCTCTTTTGTCTTTTTGAGAGAGGGTCTCACTCTCAGCTCAGGCTGGCCTCAAACTCAAAGGGACTCTCCTGCCTCAGCCTCTTGAGTGCTGGGATTACAGGCATATGCCACCATGCCCAGCCATTTTTTTTAATTGTGAGACAGGGTCTCGCCAGGTTGGGGTGGCACTATGGGTTAGCACAGTGAACGTGGCCAAAAAGCCCCTGCTGACACGGAATTTAAATTTCACTAGAGTAGGACAGGTAATAAGCAAGTTACCAAATTAGTGATATAATTCAAGCAAGAATTATTATTATAAAGAAAATAAAGGATGGCAGGAGGGAAATACAGGAAAAACTATTTGACTTGGAGATATGGGGCCTCAGCAGAGGGAGGTCTGAAAAAGCCTTTTCCCTGCACAGGGAGGAGCAAGCAAAGGCCCAAAGCAGGAAAGTAATCTCTCAGGCCCCTCCGACTCCAGCGTCCAGAATGGAACTCTGACGTTCCCGGCCTCACAAGCAGCGGGCACTGCAGACTTCTGCTCCCAGAACGACAGTGCCAGGGGCCAGAGTTACTTCCCGACCTGATACAGCCACATCCACTGTAAAAGCAATGGCTTCAATTCGTTAGACAACCAGAAAGAAAAATGGGGGCCCCTAGAAATGAGGCAAATGAATCCTGTTAGTGGCCCGGCCTCTGTTTCAGAGTCTGCGGGCCTCAGTGTAGGGCTGGGGACCTGCACAGAGCCTGGAGGACCTCATGAGTCAGGACGACAAAGCCGGGTTGAGGGGATGCCAGGGCGGCTACAGTTCAGCGGACACTGCCCCAGAAAGGAGCGGGCTGCCTGAGAGAGCAGCTGTCCTGCAGTGCCGGTGGGAATGCGCCGCAGGGCAGCCGCTTGGCAAACCCATCGGGCAATTCCCTGAGGAGTTGAATATACCAGCCAGGAGCTATTTGAGAGGCCAGCCTGGGCAATTTGGCAAGAACCAGTGTCAAAATAAAATAAAAATGGATGGGATAGTGCACTTGCCTCACATGGGTGAGGCCTGGGGTTCAAACTGCCAGGGACAGAAAGGAGAGAGCACAGGCACGGTGGGACGCCGTGCGTACACACTGCCAGGAAGGGAAAACGCAAACTAACCTACTGACAGAGCACAGATGTGTGCTTGCCTAGGGGGTGACATGGGGGAGCGGCAGGAAGAAATGGGAGAAATCGATACTCAAAGGCCTACATGCTTCTCAACAGGGCACCGCGGCCCGTGGGCAGCTGCCTTGCCCACCTGCACGGGCGCGTCCCCGTCGGGAGCATCTCGGTCACCAGGCAGGGCACTCTTCTTCACCAGGTAGGTCTTGTGGCTGATTTCGGAGCACTCCTATAACACACAGTATGCGCAGTCGACAGGATTAGTTCTTCCTCGCCTGTTTCGGGTTGTTTTGGTTTTTGTTTTATCTTATTGGTGCACTTTAGATATACATAAGGATAACATTCACCATAGGGAATTTGTACCTTACACGATATATCTTGCTCCTTCTTTTTTTTCCCCATCCCCCTGCCTTCCCTTCATCCCTCTTCCCCTCCTTATTTACAAGAGCTTTTGTTTCCATTTTTTTTCTTTCTATTCTGTTTTTCTTGTCCCTCCTTTCTCCCCACCCGCTGCCCCCGTCTCTTGTTCCTGGCTTTTGAGGGCCACTTTCTGTGCCTCACCAGGGTCGGATGGTCTGGAGAGGAAATGCTGACCATGAACAATGGGAGGAATGGTGACACAGTGATCTCTCTCTCTCTCTCAGTCAATCAATCAATCTTAGGCCCCAGCACATGATGGCAGGCAAGTGCTATACCACTCACACACACACACACACACACACGCACACGCACACGCACACGCACACCGCTATAGCCACTTCATGACTTCTTATCTCTATGTCTGCCTCAGTATTCCTCTAATGTTTCTTTTAGAGTCTTTCTAGAACTGCCTGCTATCGAGCGCGGGCCTACCACACATGAGGCTCTGGGTTCAACCCCCACTACAGCCCCCAAAAAAGAAAGCAAGAAAAGTTTTCTGCCCACCTTTCCTAGACTCAACCTGCTGGTGATGGCGGGGGCTCCCACCATCCACCAATGTCTGCTCTGGAAGAAGCATCCCCCAAGCTGCCCGGGGCTGGCTAGGGGCACTCCTAGAACATCCACACTCAGCTGGAGCCGCGGCATGTTTCTTCCAGAATGCCCCCTTAGCTTGCCCTCTCTAAATTGTACTCTTGCCAGGTGTGATGGCACAGGCCTGTAACCCCAGCCCTCAGGAGGCTGAAGCAGGAGGATCACCGTGAGTTTGACGCCAGCCAGGGCTACATAGTGAGTTCAAGGCCAGCATGAATGACACAGAGACCCTGTCTCAAAAAAGCAATAATTAATTAAAACAAAGAAATTCTACTTTTCTATGTCCAAATTAGTCTTGTCCCTCTCCCATCACAACCCTCATCCTCCTCAGCACTCTCATCTTTGGTCTTCCAGCCCTGCACTGTCTTGTTCTGTAACTGTTTCAGACCTGTGCCTTCTCTCTCTATGTATGCACAGAACTACATCTGTTAGAAAGAGCAGAGGTCTCAGGGTCAGATATTTAAATTGTTAGTTGGCCTTGAATCTATGTGATTTTGAGTGCATCCCTGTACTCCTCTGTCATGGGGGATAAACAGATGGAATGCATGAATGCTCCAGTTTAGGGCCTGGCACGTACACCTGAATCCTACCATGTGTTCATTTAAGTCACAGTAACTCATCCGCCTGTGCTCAGAGCAGGAGGAGAAGGTGGCAGGTGTGCTCCATGCACACACAGCCTCGAGGCCTGAGACAGGAGGAGGGGAAGGGGGAGGGGAGGAGAGGGAGGGGGAACCCTCCAGGCACTAAAGGTGTTCCTAGTATTGGAGGAGCAGGCTCCATACACAGGCTAGCTATTTCATTTACCAAAGAAGCAGCCATCTGCCACAATCCTAGAGACCTTCCCAAGAGACAAAAGGATGAATTCCCAATGTGCTGCCTCTTTGGATTTTCAAGAATCATCTCCGTTGCATTCAGATTTTATCTGGTCTCATGTCCTGAAAAATGAGCCGCTAGGCAACCATGTAGGGTGCACTTAGCCAAACTGAGATGGCCACGACATCACTAAGCGATGTATTCTCAGGGACCATCATCTATCCATGGTCTGGCATTGACGTAAACACTGTTATGCCGCACCTGACTGCACAGACTTTTGACCCTTACCCCGCCCACAGTTGGACTCAATAGCTCTGTTATTTCCCCACACTTACAGGCATAAGCATAGACTCGGTTTGGACTTTCTGTATCCAAGCCAGTTCTGTGTTAAAGTAACTGCTCAGCTAATACTTACTGAGCATGAAGAAGACAATCAACAAGTGTTTTTAATAATATCCGTTCTTAGCTGAGTGGGGGCACACACCTGCAATCCCAGCACTCTGGGAGACTGAGATGGGGGATTGCAAACACAAGCCCAGCCCGGGGAATTAGCAATTTAGCAGGACACTGCTTCAGAATTTTAAAAAAGGGCTGCAGCTTAATCTCCAGTAGCATGCATACATGCACACACCCACACATATGCATACACACACACACACACACCCCATTTCTGAGATTGTCACATACCCTCATCATCTTGCCTAATCTCCAGAAAACCATAACAAAGTTAAGCTTTTATGTGGTCTAGTAACTTTCCTATTGCAAAAGAAGTCTGCATGTTTATTTCAATGATAAAGCCATACTTTTTCCATAAGATCATGACTTTCTTTGTTGGGGGCAGGGGGCGCTGGGGATGGCACCCAGAGACACGCTGAGCACATGCTACCAGCCGCCTGCACTCAAGCTACAGCCCCTATGCATGGTCATTCCTGCCACACCTGCTCGTGTCACCATCTCTAAGCTGACAGGACCATGTCCCCGCTAGAAGAGTGAATTACCTCCAGCTCTCTCCACACCTTGCTCCTGATCGCCTTCATGTCACTGTGGTATCGCTGGCGTATTTCCTCTAGCTGCTTCCAATATTCCTGAAAAGCAAACCCAATCCAAAACTTTAAATGTGTGCAAACAACTTAACAGCAATAATCTCTCTATAGCCTGTAATTTCTCTAATGTGCAATATAAAACAAGCATCAGAAAACCTGCAGCTCTTAAAGATGACCATGTGCTTGCTCATGACACTTCACATATTCTGAGGGGCGCCCTGGCGGGTACAGGTGTCAGGCTCACATATAACCCCAGTGTGGTACCAAGGCACGTTTCCTTACATGCCCCTCTTAGGGACAGTTCTGGTGTATGCTGAAGTCCTCCTCTCTCCTCTGTGCCTCAGAACGTGCCCCACTTGGGCACAGGGGCACTGCAGATGGGACTGGTTAAAATGCGCTCATGCTGGTATACAGTGGTCCCAGTCCAACATGACGGTGCTCTTCTAAGAAGACGGCCATGTAAAGATAGAGGCATAGGGGAGGACGCCGTGTGACAAAGGCAGAGACTACAGTCGCGCAGCTGCCAGCCAAGGAGGGCCAAGGACTGCAGCAAATCCTCGGAGGCCAGGAGCCGGCAAAGCAGGAAGCCCCTGTGGGTTTCAGGGCCGGCGTGTGATGCCCACACTCGGGACATCCGGCCTGCAGAGCTGGGGGCCGATACATTTCTCTTGTTTTAAGCCTCCCAGTTGGTAGCACTTGGTTACAGCAGCCCTGGGGAACTAATAAAAATCCCAAATAAGTTAATGATGGACAGCTCCTGTATTAATCCAAGGAAAAAAGCGTCATGGACAAAGCAATGTTGCACTCTCTGAGAAGTGAAGTACCCAACTCTGTGTCCCCCGAAACACCCGGCAGGCGCCGCCTGTGCAAAGTGAAAAGCAACAGCCCCTCCCAGGCATCCTGTGAAGACAGAAGCGGAGGATGGCAACACAGCCACAGGCAGCCCCAAGCCACGCCGTTTCCGACCTGGGTCTTCACCTCCCTTCTCCTCCGCTGAAGCTCCCGGATGCCAGGCTCTTCTCTGTGACTTCTCAGCCCTGCGCAGTGGGTGTGACTTGGCTCAGCAGAACACGGACGAAGACCCTAGGAATTGAATGAGATCATTTCTAAAGCATGTCTGCATTTTCAAAATGTCTTTGGATTTGACCGTGACTTTTTTCAGCAGGCAAAAATTATATCATCAACAAATCTAGTAGTTGGGAGCTTTTATGGTAAGTAGAATTTTCGTAAGCATTAAGTATTAAATAAAATTTTAAAATTCAATCCCAGTGTTGCTTATTCTCAGCAGCTGTTATTTTATGGTATCACTTGAGACCCCTAGATTGATATTCTGAATTGGGAGATTATAATTGTGAACCGAAAGCTCTGTAACGGTTTGGCAATCCCGGAGTGTGAGATTTAGTAGGAGAACAGAACAACAGCTTGTGATCAGGTCAAAGTAAGAGGGATACAAATGGGATGTGGAGCATCCTGTCTCAGCCCCAGACTTCTGATACAACACCTAAAGATAAAGATTAACTTTCAATTCAAGTAGTAAGGTACAATAGACATTTAAAACTTTTTTGAAACTGATTGATTGATTGTCTTTTTGAGACAGGGTTTCACTATGCAGTTCAGGCCGAACTCACTTTGTAGCCTAGGCTGGCCTCAAACTCCCAGCGATCCTCCTGCCTCAGCTTCCGGAGTGCTGAGATTACAGGCATGCACCAGCACACCTGGTTCTAGACACTTTTTAAAAAAATGTGTAGAAGATTCTGTTAAAAATAAACAGAATCAAAGCGCTGTAGCACAGAAGGGATCTGAAAGCTCATCTACTCCAAAATTATCCTTTATAGAAAAGGAAACTCAGGCTCAGAAAGGTTCATCCACTGTCCATGGTCACAAACCAAGTGACAGAGACAGGGATGAAACCAGGCTTCTCTTGCTCTGATTCAAGCCTATCCCCATTATTCTTCTTAAGCTTAAAAAACTGAGGACGAGTAGATGGCTCGTCTTCACCTTTGTTGAATGAACTTTGACTTAAGGATCCATGAGTATCTGTGACCAGAGAAAACCACCAGGAAATTCTTGAAGACTCCCATATTTGGTACTTTACTTACCAATTGCTTTTCCACTTTCAACTTATATTGTTGAGCTTCAAATTTCCTCTGAAGGTACTCTGCAGGCCTTAGGGAATAAGAACATCAGTCTGAGTGCAAATGCTATGTTTTAGATCTAGATGTCGCCCCAAAGCCTCCTGCGCTCATAGCGCAGGCTTCTGGGAGGTGCCTGCACTGTGGGTGTGTGACGCTCGGCACTGCGGTGGTCCACTGAAGGGTTCAGAGCTGGGTGTGGTGTTGGGAGGTGAAGCCTGGTGGGAAGAGGTGGCTCGCCGGGCGCTGCCTGGAACGGTATGGATCCCTCCACTGGCTCAACCTGTCCTGCTTCCTGCCCGCCAGGCCATGGGCTGTTTGTCCTCTGCTGTGTCCCTCTGCCATGTTGCCTTGGAGCCAGCCACTCACTTACTTAAAGTCTCTGGCTCTTGTTTCCTAATCTGTAAAGTGGACACAGCACCACTTCACAGTGGAAGGAATCAGGGCTTCCAAGGCGGCTGGCCAAACCTGTACAAAGTCCTGTTCCTCATCCCATGGCTTGGAATTGGAGCTCTAGGGGGAGAGAACTGGGGCGGGGCAGAACAATGACGGGGGAACTCGGTCATCAGAGGCTTCTTTGGATCCAGTAGGATGGGATGTTATGGGCAGCGACATATTGGGGGAAAAAGGATGTCATGTAGCCGCTTGGGAGATAAAACCATATATAACCGAAATAATTGCTACTTTGACAGCTCCCTTATCTGTACAGAGTGGAAGATGTTTTCCCGGTGGCTGAACAAGTTGTGTGGCTGCTTTCAGGTCAATGTAAAATGTGTATTGCAACTTGAGCTAATGGGACACATAATTTTGATGATCCTGAGGGTCATTTAAAAGCGTGTCATGAGGACGGATAAAACCCTACCTACCAGTGGCCACTATCTTTAAAAATAAACCGTCTACATTTCCCATCATGGATTTCTGAAAAAATTATTCTTTTACCACCCTTATCTAATTTTTATTAAGTACTGATGCTATTGCCATCACATAGTCTCTTGTATTTTTTACAGTTCATCCAAAATTTTGATTGTCCAGCATATATAAGGCCCTGGGTTCTAACCCTACTATCAATCAATCAACCAACCAATAACCATAGACAACAAAGTTAGTGAATTCCCACCCTTCAACAACAACAATAAAGTGATGACAAAGCACTGTTTAAATAAACAACAATCAGGCTGAAGGTATGGATCAGGGGTAGCACATCTGCCTAGCATGTGTGAGGCCCGGGATTGTTCCCCGGAACCCCCAAAACCAAACACACCTCTCAGACATAGGCCTGATGGTGTCAGCTATTCTGGACACAGGAATACTTAAGTCAGGGGGAAAAAAAACATTGAAAATATTGTAGATCTGCAGAAATTTGTTACAGAGTACACTTTACAAAATCTATAAAAGCAATTTAAGTTTATTATTTTCTTTCAAACACATGCATATTTTGAAATCTTTAGAATATAAGTACTGAATGAAATCTATTTCACTTTTCAAAATGCTCAAATGATATTTCATTTTAATAATTTGATTATTCATGAGTCTTACTAGTAGCTTCTTTGAAAAATTAAATAAACACAACTATTTTAATCATCTCCCAGATAATGGAATTCTCTAGGAAAGGAAAATAATATGAAACATTCAAGAGTATGACTCTTGCCTATGTTTAAGTGGAACCATGAATAAGAAAATAAGCAATGATTTAAGGGTTTTGTTTTTGTTTCTGAGACAGGGTCTTGCTGTGTCTTCCAGGCTTGCCTTGGAGTCACTGCATAGCCCAGGCTGGCCTCAAACTCACAGTGATCCTCCTGCCTCAGCCTCCTGAGTGCTGGGATTACAGGCATGTGCCCCCATCCCCGGTAATTTAAGTATTTAAAGTGTAGATTTTAGTAGTTCTTTTTGGATTATTTGTTTTGGGAGAATCTGGAAGGATTTCAGAAAAAAATGTGACAAATGAGGCAGGAGGATCATTTGCACCCAGAAATTCAAGGTGGCCCAGGCAGCACAGTAAGACCCTGTCTCTAAACGGACAGACAGAATGCTGGTATGGGAAGATATTTTCAGAGGACCAAAGCTTAGGTCAGACTACCACATTACCATTGAGCAGGCGATGGAGCATGACTTTCTTCCTCCCTGTAACTCTCCTCAACTCCAGAATCTCTCTGAGGAGCACAGTGAGAACCAGCCTCCTGGGCGCGCTTCCTCAAAATGTCAAGTTCAGCATAATAAACATCATAGTGTCCGCAAACTGCAGCAAGTGTGGGGCTTTCTATCATTTTTATCTGAGAGATTAAAACCAAGAGTAAAGCTGTATGTAAAATACTTAATACAAATCTATAATTGACAAATTGAAGTAACCATACGTAAGACAAGGCAGGGAAGGTGTATATTTGTTGTTCTTACTCTAGACATGTTTTCAGAGTAAAATAATCTTAGAGTCATCAAATCCTAGAGTTGAAAAAGACCTCAGAGGTCTAAGTACTTGTAGCATAGTAGTTTACAATTCTGCCAGTGTGTGGCTCTGAGTCACCTCCACTAGAAGGCTAGCAAGTGAAAAATACTTCGCCAGCTAGTATGTCTAGCCAAGTTCTGAAACTAGACTGATAAGCATTGTTTTCTATTTTTCATAAGCTTACTGATACCTTATTGTACTTTATGGGAAAATAATCCTGATATGCGATTCACAGATTTGTGGGTTTGCAACACTAGTGGTTTCTGATAAACTGAGTAAATGCAAAATGGTGTAATAGCTTAAAGAAAATAAGCTGCTGCCTCCCTGAGAGTTATTCTTCCCTAGAAAACACCAGGCAGGGCGTCTACCAGCTGGGACATGCACGTCACCACCCCAAATACTCCTCCTGTCCTTTCTAACCAGAACAGAACGAGAGAAGCAGAAAGCAAAGTTTATCTTATCATAAACCAGGGCAGAGGTCAAAAAACTAGAAGAGAAGAATCAGACCAGATTAAGACAAGAAAATTAATCAAGACCCTTGCTAAAGAGCAAGATGTCCTCAATTTCACATGAAGGGATATAGCTCAGTGCCTGCCTGGCAAGCACCAGGTCCTGAGTTCGATTCCTGGTACGAAAAAAAATTTACATGAAATCTAACACCTCTGCCTACTTAACAGCTGTTAATAAAAGAGGAAAAAAAAAGATCAAACTGCTGGGAAGGCCTAAGGCGGGAGTATGAACCAAATGGTTAAAACTGAAACGTCCTCACTACAAAGCAGGAACACACCACGCTCTGTTCTTGTCTCATAGACATTTTAGATTAAACCATGTACGGTTGTGGATACTTGATCATCTTCAGCCTACAAAAATGGTACATAAGCATAAGTTTTATTTTTAAATTTTTAGAGCAGTAGTTTTCTTGGTTTTATTTTCACCAGTGTAGAACCCAGGAGAAAATAGTGTGACTGCTTGGTTTTGGGGGGTTTTTTGTGATTACTTGTGGAAAGTGGCTGGAAATAGAGAAAAGCATGGGAAGGGGATGAACAGCTTCTTCAAGACTTCCTCTAAAATCTCCCTCAGTAATGGGAACATCCACGGCGGTTCCTCTGCGGACCCATTAATTTCCCTGCATCAGCAGCTGCTCAAATGAACAGAAAAGATGTCAGCGGGACAATCCTTCTAATTTAATCCATCCTTGAATCTTTTAGATGTTTTCTCTCCCACAGGTCTGATACAGAGTCCTTTGTATCACAACATACTTTAAAAATTTGTCTAATAAAGTAATACACCTTATATCAAAGGAAAGGTGAAGGAGTCCGGCCCCACCCTCCTAGCTGACCAGAGACCACTTTAAGCCCCTTCCGCCCACCATGTTGGACACCTGCTCACAATGCACTCAGAGCTGTGGGTTAAGGAGGCCCAGGAACCACGGCTGCACCCACAACTCCCATCGCCCTTCAGCCCTGCTCCTGGCTGCACCCGCCGCTGCCTGGGCCCTCTCCAGCCTCGCCCCTGGCAGGCAGCCACAGCTCCTCTCATGGAACTCCGTGCCTCCAAGGTCCCACGCTGGCTGCTCCCTTTCACAGACCCTCTCTGCTCCTGACCCTGTGGAAGACCTTCCAGCCTGTGAGAGGGACAGGTCTGCTCCAAGTGCCAGGGCGGCCCCCGTTCTGAATAAACCTGTCCTGACCAGTGAGCTTGTACCTTTGTTTCTTCCTACTTTTTTTTTCTAAAAAAAGGGCAATAATTTAACCAATAATTTCAACAATGTGTTTATGTACCAACACATTTTAGATGTCTATATAATGAATAAACGTTCAATACATGTGCTTCCAAAATGTTCTTCTACACCAGCGATGGCGAACCTTTTAGAGCGTTCAGTCAATAGCTAACAGCCCACTGTGGCACACGTGCCGTAGGTTCACCAGCACTGCCGTGAGCTTTCTTTAAAAATACAAGTTTTGGGGAGCTGGGATATAGCTCAGGGGTACAGTGCTTGCCAAGCGTGAAACAGGTCCCGAGTTTGACCCCCAGCAGCTCAAAAAAGAAAAAAGCAATGGCCATTTTATCATTTATATACCAGAAGCATTTCATTAACTTGACCTAAAAGATCCAAGACTCTGTTAAAGTAGATTCAAATAACTATGAAGAAAGAAAACCTAGGTGGTCAGGCATGATGGTGCACACTTGTAATCCCAACTACTTTGGAGGCTGAGGCAGGAGGATCACAAATCAAGCCTAGCCTGGGCAACTTAGCAAGACCCTGACTCAAAATCAAAAACACAAAGCGCTGGGAACATAGCTCAGCACACCCTGATTTCAATCCTATGTTGGACAAAACAAAACAAATGAACAACCTAGCGAAAGATCAATTACTATACAATAAAAACTTCTCACATTGACAATTCTGAAGCAGGACGGTGAGTTTGTTTGAGGCCAGCCTGGCCTACATAATGAGATTGCATCAAAAGAAAAACAAAACAAAATACACAAACTCATCAATTACATATAACATTAGAACATAGAGTATGAACTGCACTATTTAATGGAACTTGTCTCATATGAAAAGCCTTTTTTATATAAGATTTTGTAACTTTCAGTTCTAAAAAGAAACTAATATATGATTGTCAGAAAATATAGCATTCTGATTTTTTTATTTTTTCTTTTGAGACAGGGATTCACCACATAGTTCAGGCTGGTCTTGAACTCACTATGTGGCCCAGGCTGGCCTCAATCTTGGGGTGATCCTCCTGCCTCAGCCTCCCAAGTGCTGGGATTAGAGAAGTGCACCACCACACCTGGTAGCATTTGTTATTCCTAAAATGAGAATGAAGTACCAAATAAACACACTTTAATGCTCACTATAGAATGACTAGAAATACAAGGCCAGTGGGCTCCAAATTCATTAGCACCACGGTACACCCACAGTCTTCTCAGGAGCCCACAGCTGAAGAACCAGGTAAGAAGGCCAGGGATGTAGCTCAGCGGCACAGCACCTGCCTGGCAAGCCCAAGGTCCTGAGTTCAATTCCCAGTACCAAAAAAAAAAAAAAAGAAGAAGAAGAACCAGGTAAGGGGTTCACGTGACTTACAGGTACGGGTTCCTGGACTCCGGCCGGTGGTCTCTGTTTGTTCCTATGTGACTTGTCCTTTCTTGTAACCGGCACTGGTATCCTTGCTCTTGGACACTTCCCCTGAAATCTCACTTTCTGTACTTCAGAATCTTATTTAACCAAAATAAAACAAAAATGATTTTAAAAATCCTACCCCTTTAGTGTGGATGCTTTCAAGAGTACAAACATAAGCTGCATTTTATAACACACTAAGTTTACTTTAGCCAGAAATCCTGCACACATAGTGAGAGGAAGTACTAAGAATATTAATATGATTTTCTGTGAATGCAGAAAGTCATTTTCCAGGGTTCCTTTATATATTTCTAGCAATATGTAAGACTACACTTTATTAAAAAGGAAGAACTGATGTTAATATTTACAGAAACACTGCACATGGGACCATTGTAGAAGTAGTGAAATGCAGTCATGACAGCCAGGGTTACCAGGCCTTGCCTGTCACCGCCGTTCCTGCGTTAGTGCCGGAAATGTATGCGTGACTCTTCCACGTCTGTCTTTGCTGCTATCAAAATTTGTTCTTGCTCTCCTACCTCTCCTGTATTTAAATGTGGACAGTGCTATTGGGCATGGCTGTACATGTCAGTTTCCAGGGGGTGGAGGCAGAGTCAGGAGGGTCTAGAGTCTGAAGTCAATCTGGGCAAACAGCAAATTCCAGCCCAGCCTAGACTAGAGTGAGCTCTTGTTTCAAAGCAAGGAAAGAGAGAGAGACAGAGAGGGGGAGAGAGAAAGAGAGAGAGAGAGAAGGAGGGAACAGGGACAGTGCAATTTTATCCTCAATTTATCTACTTTCTAAATATTCTCAATCTAGACTGATATGTAACAAGTGTCAAATTGAATTTTACTATCGTCATTATTTGTAGTGCTAGGGGTTGAACCGAGGAACTTGAGTGCACAAGTGTTCTACCACTGAGCTACATCCCAGCCCTTTTTATTTTTGTTTTGAGGCAGGGTCTCTCTGAAGTACACAAACTTAGGATCATCCTGCTTCAGTCTCCCAAGTAGCTGGGACTACATGGATGGGCCACTGTGCTTAAATCAAATTCAGTATGACTAAGAGGCTTCCTCATTTTGTCTTTAACTTTCCTTGGTTTTCGTTTCTCTATCCCAAAGATGACATCTCCCTATCACAGATTCCTTGGAGAAAGTCTAGGCCTTCCGATTCTACAAACTCAGACACCTGGGTATAGCTCAATCCTACTGCTCTAACGTTCACAACCTCCTCCTTAACATGCCCCCCACGCCGACACGCACACATTCAGCATTTCATCACCTCATCTGACTCTGTTTTTGCTTTGCTTTGTTTTGCTTTTGAGACAAGGTAATCCCGGGTGGCTGTGAACTCGGGCTCAGGCTGGCCTGGAACTGGAGATCCTCCTACCTCAGCCATGAGTTCTGGGATCACAGTGTGCGCCGGCGCAGCTCCTATATTCTATCTGATTCTTGACACCAGGACTAAAGTTGTTCTCTCCACTTACTGCTGCCGTAAAATATCGTCTGTTTCCATTCCTGGGCTCTCATACTGTTTTCCAAGATTCTACCTTCAGCTGCAATGGGCCTTTGCAAGAGAATGCTCTCTCACGCTCGGAGTGCTGGGATTACAGGTGTGAGCCAGAGTACCCCGCATATGCAAGAGAATTCTTCATCACTAGTCCATCCTCTCTATTTCTGAAAATATGCTTGTTTTCTCCCGTGTTTGTCTGTGAGCCCCTTCCACCCCGCCCCTTCACCACGCGGAGGTCCAGGTTCACCCTCTTCTTATGCTGTGCTTCCTGAAGTTTTCCTGACTGCAGGAAAGGAAAGGAACTGAAGCCTCTGGGTAGCGCCTGAGCTACGGACACCCACTAGTCCCCGTGACCAGCGATTTCACTCCTGCTTTATGGCTCATATTTTCTAACTGTCCTTGTTCAGTGTAGTCAGTGAGATTTCCCCGCTCACACTGGGAGCCGTTTGACCATGTGAGGCGCTGGTAATAAACGCCTTTTTAATGTCAGTGCGTGCAGACATCAAAACCAAGTTGCAGCTGGGCATGGTGGCGCACACCTGTAATCCCAGCACTTGGGAGGCTGAGGCAGGAGGATAGTGGCAAGTTCAAGACCAGTCTGGGCTACAAAGTGAGCTCAAGGCCAGCCTGAACTGCATAGTGAGACCCTGTCTCAAAACGACAAAAAGAAAAAAACCCAAAAAACAAAAGAAAACAAGTTGAAGAGAGCCTCGCCCCGAGAGAGTAGGAGACCCAGCTGTCGATAGTTCGGAGCCACACACAGGTGCTGAGCGCCTTCCTTCCTCCCGCGTCTGCAGTGCTCTCGGGCCGGGCTGCGGGCTCCTCCCCGAGCGCCTGAAAGCAACCGGGAGTCAAGGACCGGGAGACCCACGGCTCTGCAAAGCAAAACCGGGATCCCCCCAGTCACCTCGGGCGCCGAGTACTTGGCAATCAGCTTCTCCAGGAAGGGCCTCTTCAGGATGGAACTGACGGAAGGGCGGTCCCGGGGCGACACCCGAAAGAGCTGCGGGACCAAGCTCCGGAGGTCGCGGGAAAACCTGGGCGGCAGCGGGGCGACGCGCGCCTGGCAGATCATCAGAGCCAGCTGCTGCAGGTTCTTGCCCTCAAACTGAACGCGTCAGGGAAAAGCTAAATACTGGTGTTAAAGCAGTACATATTCCAAGAAGCAAAATAATGTTTCCACGCACCAGGATCCGCCCAACCGCGCTGCTCTCTACAAATCTTTCCTAAGCGGCTATGTAGGCAGTTACTCAAAAAGAGGCCACGGTATCCAAAACTAGTTTTCCATGCACACCTGGCTACCATATAATTTTAAACAACCTAATAGAGCCAAACGTTAATGTTTTCCTTCCAGAAGTTGGTTTCACTTATATGATGTAAATAATTCAAGATGCCAGGTGTGGTGGTGTATGTCTATAATCCCAGCACTCAGGAGGCTGAGGCGGGAGGATCACCATGAGATTTTGACCAGCCTTGGCTAAATAGTGAGTTCAAGGTTAGACTGTGCTACATATCAGAACCCTGTCTCAAAAAAAAGAAACAAAAGTAAATAAATAATTAATTCAAGATTAATTTCACATTGAACATACTTACAGGATGCTTTAGTGTGCAGAGTTCATATAAAACACAGCCAAGAGACCAAATATCCCTAGGGAACATAAGAATTCACATGGCAAGGAGACACCTGTAATTCTTGCCTTTATAGAACCTTGCATATGCGTAGCTTTATTGTGCATAGGTTAATCAGTTCTTACAGGTGCTTTCACATACATCATCACTTCTAAGAGGTAAAATAAAAAACACTTGTAGTTTGTCAGGAACTTACCAGTAGCAGACACAAGATACACAAACTTTGCTACAATCTCATGGCTCACCATTTAATTCACCCACATGTGCCTAACAAAAATGTGTGGGTGATGAAATTTTTGGCAGTTTGAAGGAGGGAGGCTGGAATCAGAAGGTAAAATACGGTTGATTTCAAAAAGTATTTTCTAGCCTGGCATGGGGGCACATGCCTGTAATCCCAGCACTTGGGAGGCTGAGGCAGGAGGATTGCTGTGAGTTCAAGGCCAGCCTAGGCTGCATAGCAAGACCCTGTCTCAAAAAAAAAAACAAAACACAAATGAAAGGTATATCCTACCTACTTAAGGTTCTTGGAAAAACCAAAGTCATATTAAGTGATGAATGTAGTATCTGGCTCTCAATAAATATGTGAAAAAGTACTTGCAATGAGATTCACTCTTTACAGACTTAGTGTGTGTGTGTGTGTGTGTGTGTGTGTGTGTGTGTGTGTTGGTGACTGGACTGACAACCTCAAGAGTTCTAGGCAAGCACTCTGTTACTAAGCTATACCCCCAGTCCCATTAGTAGACATCGATGTATGATTGGTTTAAGAAGTTACTTTACAGAACAAAAAGCAAAAGACAAAAGAAAATGTGAGCTATGGAGGAGATCTTCAAAGGGCCAAAACAAAGATTCATTGAAGAGATGTAGAATGGACCGAGGTGTCACTGAGTGGTAGAGGGCGGGCTTAGCAAGAGAGAGGCCCTGGGTTAATTCCCGGAGAGGGGGCGCGGGAGGGAGAGAGGCTCTCTGAAGCTTTTATGTCTTAGGCCCATAAAATTTTTTTGTATTCTGTCTTGTTTATAAATAAATATTGAAAGAAATAGATTTATAAGAGGTTAAAGTAGATTTTAAAAAGTAGCCTATTTTATTTCTCCAACCTTCTTCATGCTGAGAGTGTAAATTGCCGATTGCCCCCCCCACACACACACACACACTAGGCGTGAGGCCAAGGAGGATTCGATACTTCCACTCCTGTGGGCCAAAGCTTGATTAAACCTGTGTGGGTATGCTCTGGCTTTCTGTTCTTTCTACTGGGTAGAGTGCTTTCTGTACATGAGCCGGGGACGTGGGGGGGGGGGAAGCACTGCTCTTCTCTCTTGGCCAAATTGCCAATTGTAAATATACTCACCTGAGCATTGTGTAGGCTACTCTTGCAGGTGGGAGAAAGAACCCAGAAATACCAGAGAGCTGGGAAAGATTCAGGCATGGCAAGCACTGGCCGGTAACATAAAGATGATAGATGATAGATAGATAGATAGATAGATAGATAGATAGATAGACAGACAGACAGACAGATAGATAGTAATGGTTGATACATTGTGTCAACTTGAGAAGTCCAGAAGCTTAACTAAGTAACTCAGCATTTCTAGGGCATAGAGGTCATGCCCCTACTGCTCCAGGATGTTGTTCATTGTGTCAACTTGAGAAGTTTAGAAGTTTAACTAAGCAATTCAGCAGGGGGCCAGGGTCCTCACTTTGTAAACATCCTGAGCCTGTGCAAGAGGCGGGCATGGAGATGGTGTGAGCGCTACACCCACACCAGGGCGGGCAGCCTGCTTACAATATAAGGGAGGAAAAGAGGCTTGTTCTCCTTTTGCTCATGTTGCTTTGCTGTCTTTTGCTGCCTTGAGCTGTTGCCCTCTGCCATGTGCCCCTCTGCCTTGGAGCCAGCTGATTACAGACAGAAACCTCCACACACTGTGAGCTAAATAAACCTTTCCCCCTTTAATTTTGGGTGTCAGCTATTTTGTCTCAGCAATGAGAGAAAAGTAACTAACATATGGACGGATGGAAATACCCCACTGGCGAACCATACTCTGTGTGTGTGTTGTTTATGTGTGTGTCAGAGAAAGAAAAACTGACTCTAAAGATTTGACTACAGTATAAGGTGAATACAAATTTGCAGGAAACAAATCTAAACTGCTTTCCAGTTTCGAGAAACTCAGTAGCCATCTACCAGGAGCATTTGCTTGGTGCGGATGCCTTGGCCCCAAACTTCTGTTTCCAGAGCGCCCTCTGTGGCCACCTTCGTGACCTACATGCCCGAGGTCTCTGGAAAGTAAAGAAGCCACTTGGGGCTAAGTGGGGCGATGTGGTGAGAACCATGACAATCAGGGCATGATTTGCCAGTCTACAGATGCCCAGCTGATTACTGATCTTCCCATTTTCAGAAGCACCATACCTACAAGTTTTGGAATCTTTTCTCTCTTCCTTTTTTGTTTTGTTGTGGGGTTTTTTTTGAGACAGGATCTCACTACATAGCCCAGGCTGGCTTTGAATTCACAGCGATCCTCCTGCCTCAGGCTCCTAAGTGTTGGTATTACAGCCATGCACGATGGCCAGCCTTCCCCACATTTGAATGTTGACTCCCATTCTTTAAAAGCAGTACAAGGAAACAAGACAATGCTGCTGCCCTGGGACTCAATCTGGCAGGGCTGAACCCTGCTCTGCACTGCGGACCCTCCTTCCAGAACTACCCACCGATGTCACCGCATGGCTCGAGGCCAAACTCACTGGGGCCAGGGATGTCACATATGTATCTCCAAAGGAAAAATACACGTAGATATTTTAGTATATACATATGTAGGTTTTTCCTTTTTTTTTTTTTGAAACAGGGTCTTGCTTTATAGTTCATGCTGGCCTTGAACTCTCTATGTAGGCCACACGGGCCTTGAACTTGTGGCAAAAGCCCATCTCAAAAAACAAACATAAGGCCAAAAGCTTCAGGGATAGTCACTGGGATCCCCATTTCACACCTGCAAAAAGTGAAATTACAAAAGTACCAGAAGAAAGCGAGAATAGATGAGAACTTTAGCTTGTGGAATCTTAATTCAGTGTCACCTATAAGCTTTTACTGACACTTTCAAACCCACAGCCAGGACTCACGTTTTATTGTTGTAGGGCTGATTCTGACAGATCTCTGGGGACAGGTAGTAAGGTGTTCCAATACGAGTTCGCGCAAACTCCATGGAACTAGCAAATGAAGTCAAATCATAAAGCATCATGGTTTATTACCAGAGTAACAAAGGCATGGACATCAAGAAAATGTAAAAACAGATAACAAAATCTGATGCACATCTTAGAAGAAAGCAAAATACTGTATATAGATAATAGAGTAATAGATTTTTAAACTTACAATTCAGCCATACACTTTTCTTTCTTTTTTTTCTTTTAGCCCAGGTTGGCCTTGAACTCTCAACAGCAATCCTCCTGCCTCAGCCTCCCAAGTGCTGGGATTACAGGTGTGTGCCATCACGCCCAGCCACCCCCACAGAGCTACACATCAAAATATATATTTACCTGTAGTGAAAATGAAATATAATACATATTTGAAAATACATATCCTTATGATGGGAATGTGGGTCAGTGATAGAGCACTTGCCTAACATTCACAAGGCCTCAATACTAAAAAAATCTCCAATACTAAAAAAAAATGATGAAAAAAGTCTAAAACCTCGAAACAATTCCTCTTAAATATTCATATATATATGTATATATATGGCTTAGTATTGTCTACATATATTTTTCACATAACTATCATTATAGTGTGCTTATAATAGGGTGTTTATAATTCAGAATTTCATTTTCTTTTCTTAATATAGTGAAATGCCAGGAATAGCGTTGAACACCTGTAATCCCAGGCTGAGGCAGGAGGATCACCATGAGTTTAAGGTCAGCCTAAACTACATATCGAAACCCCTTCCTTAAAAAAGAAAACAAAAAAACTACTTCATAATAGGTTACAAAGAAGTTTCCAAAACCTTAAATGTTTTTGACAAAATAATATATTCAGGAACATGGGTATATCACATTTTATTAAATTTAAATTTAATCATTTCCCAGGTCTTATTAAATAATTACATTATCATTATTTAAACTATCTCAAATTTCAAATTATTCTCTTGAAATAAATTTCTAGAAACAGGATATTTAAACATCTCCTGATACGTATTAAATGAAATTGTCTTCCAAAACAGTTGCACCAGGGCCACACCCTACCACACAGAAACCCACCTGTTTCACTAAGTTCTCACCAGCTTTATGCATACAACTGTCACATCTCATACTTAATAAGCTTGTATCACACCAAAAACCACCACCATCATTTTATTATGCTGCAGTTTATGCTGGGAATCTTTTTTTTTTTTTTTTTTTT